AATAATAATGATAATGATAATAATAATAATAATATAATATACAATAATATTAATCATCATAATAACGATAGCAATAATGATAATGATAATAATAATGGTGATAATGATGATAGCAATAACAGTAATAATAATGACACTAATACCCATACTTATACGAAAAAAGATAATGAAAAAAATAACAATAATATTGATAATAATAAAAATAACAATAATATTGATAATAATGAAAATAACAATAATATTGATAATAATAATAGTATCAGCAACAGCAATAACAACAATAACAAGAACTACACTAACAACAACAACAGCAACAACATCATCAATAACATTAACAACAGCAGTATCAATAACAACAGCAAAAACAACAGTAATACCATCACAACATCAAGAACAATAACATCATCAACAACATCAACGACAAAAAACAATAATGATAACAACAATATCAGCCACACCATCAACACCAATAACAAAAACCAATAGCAATAACAATAAAAACAACAGCAATATCATTAACAACAAAAATAATAGAAACAACGATAACCCCAACAACAATACCAACAGCAAAATCATCAACAACAAAAACAACAGCAACAAATATATCAACAATAACAACAGAAACAATAAAAGCAACAACATTAACAACAGAAACAATAAAAATAACATCACCAACAGCAACAACAACATCACCAACAGCAACAAAAACATCACCAACAGCAACAACATCACCAACAGCAACAACAACATCACCAACAGCAACAACAACAACATCACCAACAGCAACAAAAACATCACCAACAGCAACAACAACATCATCAACAACAACAACAAAAACTGCACCACCAACAGCAACAACATCACCAACAGCAACAACAACATCACCAATAGCAGCAACAACAACATCACCAACAGCAACAACAAAAACTACACCACCAACAGCAACAACATCACCAACAGCAACAACAACATCACCAACAGCAACAACAACATCACCAACAGCAGCAACAACAACAACATCACCAACAGCAACAACATCACCAACAGCAACAACAACATCACCAACAGCAGCAACAACAACAACATCACCAACAGCAACAACAACATCACCAACAGCAGCAACAACAACAACATCACCAACAGCAACAACAACATCACCAACAGCAACAACAAATACTACACCACCAACAGCAACAACATCACCAACAGCAACAACATCACCAACAGCAACAACATCACCAACAGCAACAACATCACCAACAGCAACAACAACACCAACATCAACAGCAACAACATCACCAACATCACCAACAGCAACAACAACAAAAACTACACCACCAACAGCAACAACATCACCAACATCAACAGCAACAACAACACCAACATCAACAACAACATCACCAACAGCAACAACAACAACAACAATAACATCACTCAATAAAAAAAAAAACTTGCTTACCCAATTCGTCTAAATTGTCTTCTCCCGTTTTCATGTTGAATTCCCCGTCGTAAGTTACCGACAGATTGCGCTAAAAAAAGTAAGAAAGAAGAAGAAAAAGGTATAGAAAAGAGAGAGAAAATTAAACATTGTGATGAAATTAGAACAAAGAAAATGAGAAAAAAGGGAAGAGGAAAAAATCAATCAATCAAATGGAGAGTGAGTGATTATGTTAATATTTAGGGGAAAATGTTAAAAAAAGAAATATTAATGAGATGTGAACATATGCGAAGGAAAGTGTTGATAAAAGGGACACGTGACTAAAAAGGACAAAATATTTTCTTGCGTAATATGAATCAATAATCAAGAAAATAAGCAAGGAATGGTACGCATGCAAAAAAAAACAAAACAAAAAAAAAAACCGCTAGATTAAAAAAAATATATCTTCTCTATCATAATTAAATAAAGAAATCAAGGAAGAAGTAGAAAAATAATAAATATCAAAATAAAATGAAAACGAAGAAAAAAGGAATACAAAGAAAATGAGAAAAAAAGATAAATAATTAAAAAATATATGATAACAATGATAATAACAATTACAGTAAAAAGAAAAAGAAGCAGAAAAAACAAACAAACAAACACACACGCCGTAAAACCACCCGAAGCGATCGTAGTCGGTGAGTCCGGGCGGAATGGGCAGCAAATCGGTGATATTGTGAAGGGTGCCGTTTTCCGCGACCATGTTTTCCTGCATCCAGTCCAGCAGCGGATCCTGAAGGGAGGGGAAGGGGTGAGACGCGGAAAAAAAAATGTTTTCTCACATATTACGATTAGTGAGCAAGTAATTCCTGAAAGCGAATGATATATATATATATATATATATATATATATATATATATATATATATATATATATATATATATATATACATACACACACACACGCGCGCACGCAAGCACACAGACACACACACACACAAACACACACAAACACAACCCCCCCCCCCCAATCCCTTGCCCGTTGTTGTCGTGGGGGGGCTTAGGAGGCGGAGACTGGGACCCA